ATCAGCTAAAGTGACTTCAGACTCAGTTTTATAAAACTGAGCGTGAAATAACTGTTCCAATTGTTGCCATGTTTGAACAGAGTTCGCTGGTATGCGATTTTGATAAATTCTTTTTCGGGCAGAGGTACAAAACACTTGCTTCTTGCTGTCTTGAACCATTGGAGAAAACTTTCTGCCCATTTGTTTGGCATTTGACGTAGATTCGCCAAATCAGCTAAAGTGACTTCAGACTCAGTTTTATAAAATCGGTTACATCACCACTTTGCAATGTGAATCGCCCTATGTGTTCTAGAGTAGACACCTCTCCTAAATCGATAAACAGTGAGAATTCTGGCACTTTGTACCCTCTAGGCCATGGATATGCTTGGTCTACCCAATCAGGATATGGCTTTGTGTACGTCAGCCTAATGACTGGACGCACCCCAAAAGTCATCTGATCCTGTACGATTTCCATAATCTGATTCCTCAACATGACGTTGAGATCATATGGAATTCCTACAGGCTGATTAACCGGTTGATTTACATGAGGCCTGATGTTTGGTCCTTGATTGACAACAAAGTTACCATGATTAGGGCTATTACCATTAGCCTAAACATCTATTCCCTCATTAACACGTGGGGTATTTTGTCCATTGTTTAGGACATTATCTCTTATGTTCGGATTACCCCCCAAGTTAGGCGTACCACTACCATTGTTCTGATTTGGCACTGCAGTACCCCCTTGATTTGAAGTAGAGGGACCAGAAAGTGGTTCTACCCCTTGATTCGAATTTAGGACTGAGGGATTATGTCCCACAATTGTCCTAGTTTGAAAGTGATTTGCAAGAGGTATAACCGGTTGACATATTTGGCCTACTAACTTATTTATTGTTTCATTCAAAGTGTTTAGTTGTTTGGCCATGTTGTCATAGTGTGCATTCCCATTTTGGGTAAATCTTTCCATATTATGAATCCTTCGAAGATTTACCTGTTCAACAATGTCTTGTGTGAGTTCTCCAAGTAATGTACGCATGGTTCGAGGACTCAACTCCGTCATTGGTTCGTAACGACTGTTACTGCACTGATTCTATCCATCTGTTCATGGAAAGGCATGCTGCTCCTCATATCGCTCGATCACAGACTGGACTCCTCCCTAACTTGCTGCTTCCTTATCGGATCTTTGAGGCATATTGTTTCACCTTTTGTACTTTCAACACTAAACACCACTGTCCCACTGGGCGTGCCAAATTGTTTCGCGCGGGTTAGTCGCTAACAATTAAAAGGGATCAGATGATTGTGTAAGGGACAAACCTCTTGAGACAAAGTCCCAAAAAGGGGTGTTCTTTTATTGGCGATGACTTTACAATTGGAAATTAAAAACAGAATGCCTCCAAGGGGCACAAGTACACGAGTTACTGAAAAAAGTGTTTAAGTCTAAGCTAAGAAAATTAAAATTACATGTTCTCTATTCGAGAGTTTTTGATTCGGTCCTTTGCTCTATGTCTTTTCTCCCTTTTATACTCCATGGATGATCTTTTTTGTAATCAACCGTCTAAAAACTGCTTGATCATTTTGCAACTGCCCACTTTCCTCGTAATAGCCAGCTTGTCATGAAAATTGTCTTTTTTAACTGCTGCCATTACTCTTCATCGTTCAACCGTTTTCGATTGAATTCCTTGAATCGTGGAACGTGATAGGGCTGCTTTAATAACTGCACTTCTTGATAACCACAACGCTTTATGTTTGTTAAGACCTTGGGCGACTTGAAGGTTTGGACGAAAATAGAGTAACAGCTCTGGGCGACTGCATGGCACTCCATTCGCTCAGATTCTGGGCGACTTGCAAACTTGGGCAATGGCGTTACCGCGTTCTTCGGCCTCCCTATTTGGGCCTTCATCTTGAATTATTTGATTGAGTTTCGTTCTTTGGACTATCTGATTTGGGGATCCTCCAATTAGGCTTCATTCCTTGGGCCGTTCGATTTGGACTGAATTTTTATGTGTCAACACTATCTTTTTGTTTTAAAAAAAATTAAAAATATGATCTAACAATGACCCAATGATGGAACCACTGACCCACCGATTAAACACCACTAACTCGATGACTCGATGATTTTTTCAAATCGACGTTCGGGTCACGTATGATGACTATGGTAGTAATAATATCATTAAAAATGAATAATATTTGTACTTACTAAAAAAATTGATCTACTATAATATTAAGTTGCGACAATAGGCGCAGTGAGATAGTAGATGCCCATGGTAGTAATAATATCATTAAAAATGAATAATATTTGTACTTACTAAAAAAATTGATCTACTATAATATTAAGGTGCGACAATAGGAGCAGTGAGATAGTAGATGCACACGCAAGTATTGGTTGCTTGAAAACCTTCAAGAATTCATTATCTCAAAAGCAAATTACCTTTCATTAAAATTTATATCGTAATAAGAATCATGAATGCCTACATTTATAAAAATTAGTAATAATTGTATCGTAATTAACACATGATTGTAATCTTGATGTATGCAGAGGTCATGTAGTTGACGTTAGTATTATCAAAAGTCAAAAACAAACCATTATTCACAACAAAATTCTCGAAGTACATATATTAAACAATAAATATATTTTGTGCATTGTGTGAAAATTCAATGACCTTCAATGCAAGAATTTTTAATGTATTTTTCAATAATTTCACAAATATGTCATTTATGCTTTCTTCCGATCCAAAGATCAGAAGTAAATGAAATGAAATCGCTATAATTTCTTAAATCGTCAATATTTTTTGTCTTTTCAATACCATATAAATTTATAGTAGCATTTCAAAGCGTACATCTAATAGTGGGATCGTACTTCGATTGAGGACATATTTGTATGAATTTCGTCAAGACCATGCTAGAAACAACTTGGCATTGGCTACGAACATTATCATACCTTATCGCGTTGTTTTTGAATTAAACTCCTAGCTTGCAAGAACTGCCCCAGGAGGTTTCTCTTTGTTGAACCAAATTGAAGTTAAGTTTGTCCACTATTGATAGTCCTAATAGGAACAATGTACTTTTAGTAATGGCTATTGTATTGGGTAGTGCTAATTTACACGCTTTCTATTGTGGATAGTAACAACTTGGCATTGGCTACGAACATTACAATACCTTCTTTTGGTGTTTCTGAATTAAAAACTTAGGCTCAAAGAACTGCTTCAGAAGGTCCTATTTGCTGAACCAAATTGAAGTTAAGCATGTCTACTCTTGATAGTACTAACATGGACAATGTATTTTTGTAACGTTTGTTGTACTAGACAGCTTCAATTTATAGTTTACAAGTAAAATCATTTTGAAAATAAATAGAATATGCTTTCGTAATCTACCCCCAAGTTTCAATTGTATTCTTTTTTCGTGAAATGTTTTTCAACATTTAGAAGTAGACTCACTAGTTTTGCCTTCTTTCGTCATTAGTAGGCTTTCCTTCTTCCAAATAGTCATCAAGCTTAATGAATTTCAGTTCGATAGTACCGATATTTTTTCCAATTTGGAACATCACAAATTTGAGAAATACCGTATACGAAAGTATTGGAATTACCAAAGAATTGATTAACATTCTCGTTTGGGTTTATGAATCCGCGTAATGCATCCCAATTTTGTTAAAAAAAAATAAAAAATAAAAAAAAAGAAAAAAAGGAATAAAAAACTAATAGAAATAATTGGTACAAGGAAAGTTGGAACTGAAGGAAAACATAGGAACAATATCATATTAATTATGAAATTATAATAAAGAGATGAGAGTGGTACATTAGCGAGATTGGTCAAACTCATTTTTACTGGTCGACTCTGTCAAGAGGTACTTTCGTCGCATAGAAATGAAATGTTGGGACCAGTACTGCAATAAATGAAAGGTCTGAGTAAAATATGCAACAAATTGAAATATTTAGGTCAGTGGCTGCAATTATGCAAAAATAAATGAAGGCACTTTACGAAATATTTTTTTTGTCAAAAAATACGATTATTACTCCTAGGTTGCAAGAACCGCCCCAGGAGGTTTCTCTTTGTTGAACCAAATTGAAGTTAAGTTTGTCCACTATTGATAGTCCTAATAGGAACAATGTACTTTTAGTAATGGCTATTGTATTGGGTAGTGCTAATTTACACGCTTTCTATTGTGGATAGTAACAACTTGGCATTGGCTACGAACATTACAATACCTTCTTTTGGTGTTTCTGAATTAAAAACTTAGGCTCAAAGAACTGCTTCAGAAGGTCCTATTTGCTGAACCAAATTGAAGTTAAGCATGTCTACTCTTGATAGTACTAACATGGACAATGTATTTTTGTAACGTTTGTTGTACTAGACAGCTTCAATTTATAGTTTACAAGTAAAATCATTTTGAAAATAAATAGAATATGCTTTCGTAATCTACCCCCAAGTTTCAATTGTATTCTTTTTTCGTGAAATGTTTTTCAACATTTAGAAGTAGACTCACTAGTTTTGCCTTCTTTCGTCATTAGTAGGCTTTCCTTCTTCCAAATAGTCATCAAGCTTAATGAATTTCAGTTCGATAGTACCGATATTTTTTCCAATTTGGAACATCACAAATTTGAGAAATACCGTATACGAAAGTATTGGAATTACCAAAGAATTGATTAACATTCTCGTTTGGGTTTATGAATCCAGCGTAATGCATCCCAATTTTGTTAAAAAAAAAAAAAAAAGGAATAAAAAACTAATAGAAATAATTGGTACAAGGAAAGTTGGAACTGAAGGAAAACATAGGAACAATATCATATTAATTATGAAATTATAATAAAGAGATGAGAGTGGTACATTAGCGAGATTGGTCAAACTCATTTTTACTGGTCGACTCTGTCAAGAGGTACTTTCGTCGCATAGAAATGAAATGTTGGGACCAGTACTGCAATAAATGAAAGGTCTGAGTAAAATATGCAACAAATTGAAATATTTAGGTCAGTGGCTGCAATTATGCAAAAATAAATGAAGGCACTTTACGAAATATTTTTTTTGTCAAAAAATACGATTATTCTAGGGCACAGCTTATCAACAATCCCTGTCAAGCTCCACACTTCCTCGCTCTCCCTGCTCCACCTACCTCAATTTCATTCCCTGAGAAGGTATTTTTGTTCATCTTTAGTTTAATTATCAAAGTTTAATTATAATTAGCTGTTTATTCATACGCACATACACTGCACGCAAGTATTCCTATGTGTAGCGTCTATGTATGCATATCTTTTTGTGTTTTTTTCTGCTCTTGAGCTTTTCGTTTTTGTTTGTTTGAGACATATGGTAATATTCAGTGTCCACGGTTTGTCGAACATGATCTATTTCTAAAAGAGGGAAATCAGTAGACTTGTTGTAGTTTGATCTTGTTTAATTAGAGTGTTTTTTTCTTTTTTTGGCCCGCTTATTTCAATGGAGTAGATGTTAAATATAAATGCAGTTATTGAGATACACTAAAAAAATGTATTTTTTTTTCTTGGACAGAAAAATTAACTGGAGAAAAAATGAATGAACCTTGCCACTTAATGAATTTAATTCCAACTGTTACAATAAATGTAGTATATTTTTTTGTTGCTTGTGACAAATTTGTCCACATGCAAGCTCTTCAAATTGGGAAAGAAATCCATTTTTCCAACATCGAAGAAGACGAAGTAGAGATTTGTTACCTATAATTAATTTGAAATTAAATAATGAAATTGGAACTAGTTGTGGGCTTATATAGGAGTAAGAAAAAGGACAGAGAATTTATGTTAGACAAAATTTTCACAGATAATGACAATTTACAGATATACTCTATTTTTTGTTATATATAACTATTCTTGAGTTCACAGACTTCATCCTGAATTCATTAAAGGTTATAAAAACACAGTAGCAAGTGGTAACAATGATGTGCAATCTAGTCTCAAGAATCTTTACCTATGTTCGTACTGCATTGTAGTGAGGGACTTCGAAAGCTTTTAAAAAATTACGAAAGGACGAAAGGCTGTAATTCAAGGGTCTGATTACTAACTGAGAATTGCCAAGGTGAGATTGAGTATGATGGGAGTTCTAGATGTTATTGGTGTACTAGAAGTTTTAATATTGTTCTTTCAGTTTTATCTTCACTTTGTTATTTATTTCGAGTGCCTAATTTTAGAGGCAGTAGGGCTATTTTTGCAGTGTTCTCATTTGTGTCGGTAAGGCTGTTAGATAGCTAGGTGATCCATGAATGTGGGCTTCTTTTTTGTGATATGGGGCAGATCAGTTACAAGTGCCTTGAGCTCTGTGATGGCTTGAAGCCTCCCTAGTTTGTCACCCTCTAAATATGCTTTTCCTGCCACACATGAGAGAAGTGATGTAGCAGTATTTCCATCCTTTTTGCACATAATGCATCATGCCCAAGGTACTACCCGTGATTATCCAAATTTTATTAATCCCTTGTTTGGTAGTGATTAAAATTCATATTTTAATCTAAGTCAAAGTCAACAATCAATTTTAACCATATATTTTATGAATCCCACAACTTTTGAACAATACATTTCATCAGCTTTTATCAAAATCTACTAAAAATGTGATTTTAATACCTACCAAACAGGGGCTAAATCTATTTCCTTCACTTCTTAATTTTTGTGTAGGTATTAATCCTTTGATATTCAAAAAATTTAATATGGTTTTATCAAAACTGTATCTTCCCAAGTGAGACACGGTTCATGATAGTTTCTTTTCATTTTTGCTGTATATTTGTAGACTCTGCATCACTTGTATTTAGCTAATATTTTATTACTAGAGCTAAAACCTTATGAGCTATTGAAATTGAAGTTACAATGGTTAATGGGATACATGAACACCTTCTAAATAGGTTTCAATCCGTTTGAATTGCACATATATTTAATTATTTATAGACAGTGGGGTTAATTGTGGTAAAAATTAGCTTTGATCATTAGTGGTGAATTGATGATTGTGTGAATTAACTCGAGATGAGATTTTTTGAAGTGAAGTATTATAATTTATGCTTAAATTCCAATCTTCTTCCTGAAAAATGTAGATATTACCAATCTTTTCCTGGTTCAGTAGTTAGAATGTAATTATATGCTTTAATTTAGTTACATCATCCTCAACATGAACTATAGTTTTTGAATATGTGTCTGCTTGAAGACGTTGAGCCACAAGATACTGGTTGTATCGGAATTATAGTGATTTGTGCTGCATCTGTAACTACATAACAGTATGCTAGGATGCATGAAATATTATAAGGGAAAGCATGCACTAGCATGGTCTATTCTTTTGTGCTGCCTAAATTGTTCTTTCTTTTGGTCCTAAATATGTCTGAAGATACATTTACTTATAACTTTTCATGATATCTCATGTGTCTCTTATGCATGCGCGTGACCACACATTCACGTTCTTACATTTAGTTCCTTCCCCAGAGTTTGGTCATTCTATATGAACTTTTATATGTCTAATTAGGTATGCCATCTGATAATGCAAAAGACAATTCAGCGTTTGATTCATCTATGATAGAAGTGAAAAAAGACATGGCAAATTTAAATGATACAGGTAACAATGTCGTATTTCTCTTGATTTATTAATTTTATATGTATAAACTATGAACCATGCCATTCTATAATTTACTTACTGGTTTTTCCTATTGCTAGGAGTGTTTAATAGGGCCGAGTTTTCTCTGTTTAAATTGTTGACCAACAGGTTTGAAAAGCTGTGTAGTCTCTGTTATTTTATGTCACGTTTTTCTTCTATCAAGATTTTTAGTGTTCTCTTTTCGAACTCATCAATAAAATAAAACACAGCTATAACTCATAAGCAAATTGGTTGGATGCCTTAATGTATGTGCAGCCCAGTTTTGGCCAATTTTTTGCTTGATATTGTTTTATTTTGTTACTAGTTAATCTGCTTCCACATTTTGTTTGAGCATATTTTATTCTCATTACTTTTACCCTTTCTGATCATAACCTTTTTGTTTTCCTTATTGAAATAGACAGATTCTCATGAAGCATGATTTTGGTTAATTCTACAGCTTAGTTGATGAAAATGAAATGAAGGCATTTCAGTGGCTTAATTGCTGAGTGTAAGGGTTTGCTGTGAGATACATGCTGACGAAACCTTAATGTTAAATATAGACAATTAGAAGATAGAGTTCTAGATTTCTAAAGAATTTACCATGTTAGGAATCTTTTATGGACTTTTTAAAAAAGGTAGGAAAGAGCTCATTGGAAGTCTGCTTGAAATATTTGATGATATAATCATTCATTTTATGCACCGTGTGCATAAATTATTGTCAAGTTGAACTAACGTTAGGATTTGATAATTCCATATTTACCTATCGGTACAGTTTATAGTGTAAGATAATTGCATACTGCTTGGGCATTAGTTGCTTGCGTAAAGATGAAAGAATTTGGCTTGTCATGTAGAATGTATGTAATAAATTACACACAGTAGAATTAATTTTGAGAAGTTGCTCTATGGCTTTCTGGCTTAGTGTTGTACGAGATTAAGAATAGTAGTAATGTTTTGTTATTGATGCTCTTCTCTATTTCTTTGATGTTGGATTTTGGCTGTGTGGTATTGAATGGGACAAAAGTGTTTACAATATTCTAGCATAATAGGTTTATACAAGGTTTTTATTAATGCTAAACACATTTACTTCTTTTTGCAATAATAGTTTCTGACTTAACAAAGAATCGGGATACATTTGTCAGAAAGCCCTAGAGACACGAGAAATGAGGAAGCCTGTCGATCTGGGGTAGAAGAACAAGTTCATTCTTGTGATCAGGTGGGAACTTCAGGTGCAGTCAAGAAGGATAGACTGTATAATACAAGATATTTCATTATCAAGAGCTTGAACCATCAAAATATTCAGTTGTCAATTAAGAAGGGACTTTGGGCTACTCAAATCATGAATGAGCCTATTCTTGAAGAAGCATTCCAAGTAAGATCTCGTATTTTGTAATTTTTAAATTTAGCACATAGTGTGAAACAGTGTTTTCAATGTCTATAAATTATAGGGAAGCATGTTTTTTTGATGCAGAATTCTGGCAAGGTGATTCTCATATTTAGTGTCAACATGAGTGGCTTCTTCCAAGGGTATGCTCAAATGGTGTCTTCAGTTGGTTGGGGACGGGATGAGATTTGGAGTCAAGGAAGTGGTAAAAGTAAACCTTGGGGCCGAAGTTTTAAAGTCAAATGGCTACAGTTGCATGACTTGCCTTTTCAAAAGACTCTTCATCTTAAAAATCCTTGGAATGAATACAAACCTGTCAAAATTAGTAGAGATTGTCAGGTATCAATTATTCTAATCCATCCAAGATTTAATAGTTGGTCCATTCTCAGTCTCGGTAAAGTCCATGATCATTACGCTTCAACCGGGTTATTCTATTCCACCTTTTTTACAGTACATTTTTTGACCTCTTTTCTTTCTTTTTCTTTTTTTTAATAATAGTTTATATATGTATGTTTCTTTGCTAATTGGAAGCCTTCAAGTATATTACTTGTATGTGATATATAACTGGCACATTTATCTCTGTCAGGAGTTACCTCAGGATATTGGTGAAGCTCTTTGTGAGCTCCTAGATGGGGGAGATGATGTGTATCTTAATTTGAAAAGGTTTCTTTATCGTTTCTTATCATATTTAAGTTATGTCTCTTCTGGGATTCCCTAGTTAATGAATATTTTAGTTGTATGCCAGGGAGGAAGTGAGGGATGATCTTTCTTCAAAATGGCTTTACAAAGAGCAGTTGCATTCTTTCCAAGATGAAGACTTCAATGTCCCTCTGATGCATATGGAACCTATGCTATATCCCTCTTTACTATACCAAAATCAAGCTGAAGCAGGTAGATTTCATTTAGAAAACCTGAGAACAGCTGGCATATATCTTCCTGAGAATTCGTCAATTGCTACTGCGCCATCCGAAGTTAAACAGTCAAAACATTCTCGAACAAATGGAAGTTTTGCAAGTATAAAAGATAGATCTTCTCGAATCGATGGTTGGGGCTTGTCAGCAGAGAGAAGGCCTTTTGCTAGCACTCTGACTGAGGATGATATTCTGGAAATGGTATAGGTGTCTCATCTTAAGCTTTATAAGTTTGTTTATATATTGATGCATGAGAGGCTAAATTGTTACTTGAACTTTTGATTATGTCACCTATTGAATTTTTGCCTATGGCTTGTGGACAGATGATTTTTTACACCAAATGACGTCTACAAGCAAATGTCTTTTGAGCTTGTTTTCTGTATGATTTTCTTTTCCTTTTTTGAACTCATCTCCTATGGATTAGGTTTGCTCAGTGTGCCTGCAGTCTTGTGAAAGGTTTTCGAATTGTTTTGTGCTTTTCTGTTCTTTTTCGTTTATCATTTTCCCACTCCACAACTTATATATGTATTTTAATGTGAAAAAGCAGCTGATCCTTCACTCCTTTATCAATATATTGTTTAACTGGTGAGACAACAAGGGTTCCGTGGTTTATAAACAGAGACATAATCATCCTGTGATTTGGGTTTCATCTAGTGTCTATGTTTTCTACTCAAACAGTGATGACCTATCATGTGAGTTGTGAAGTTGAACTGTTGATGGTAGTATGTCATGAGCAGAGAAGGAGATCTCATCATTTATTTGCCTCAACTCATAATTCAACTGAAGGCCTAACATCTACTGCCTTAAGTTTTATTTGTCTTTGGATTGACGTATGATAGTTTGTCCATGATTATTCAAATGGCTTGTATTTCAATGACAGACATTATCGTGCCATCACATTGATTAAATAGTCATGGACATAAAACATGAATTTGTTTTATTTTACAAAATAGAATATTCAATAGGTCGCCACTTAGAGACCCGAAGACCTAACCATGATGCTTGGAATCAGTTAGTGGTATCGTTTTAATTGGTATGCTAATTGACCTATGTAGATATCAATTAGTGTTTATTGGTTGTCTACATTTAGTTACGATGGTTGCAACTAGGAAGTAGGAGTTTTACCCACATTTCTCTGCCTCTATCTACTTGCATACGCTGATGTATATACATGCATGTATGAGAAATTGTGCAGTGTCAAAAAAGTCGGAGAAGATATGATGGTAAACTGTGATTGTTGTGGCAAGACGAGAAGGGTGTTTCGGCTATAAATTTAAACCGTCAAAAATTCCAGATTAAACTTAAATGAAACTTGTGGGGACTTGTGTATATTTTTAATCCACGAAAGCCTTGCGCCTTTGGTCTGATTGACAGCAGTTTACTGTTGAGTGAATGCTATTTACTTCTCTTTTTTCTATTTCATCAGTGAAGCATTGTATGTATGCCCTTTGGTATAACATGCAATATTATGCCCTATGGACTTGGCGTAGATAAATGATACTTGGGGGGACTTGTGTGTATTTTTAATCCACAAAAGCCTTGCGCCTTTGGTCTGAATGACAGCAGTTTACTGTTGAGTGAATGCTATTTAATTCTCTTTTTCCTATTTCATCAGTGAAGCATTGTATGTATGCCATTTGGTGTAACATGCAATATTATGCCCTATGGACTTGGCGTAGATATCACTTTCCACATGACGGGCACATTTGCAGTGAAACTGTGCACATGCTACCCATCACATATGAAGATGGAACTATTATATAAATAGTAAGGGGAGTCAAGGCTGAGTAAATCCAACTATTTCATCTAAGAACGTTTCATAAGTGTAATCAGTAACATAGATGACCTTAACTGACAGGGAAAAATAGGGAGTATTCTATCTGTGAGATATTGTTAAGCTATGAGACGATGGTATATAAAACAGTAAAACTCTAATATGGAGGCAAAATTTTAAAAGATATGCAAATTTCTAATTCTTTTTCAACACTCCGACACCTTGATTTATCAATATATCTTCCATTCTTGATAAACGAGTATCAGTAGTTGACATATGCATATTGTCATATGTAGTCATAGTCCCTCCTCTTCAATATAATAGAGAAACTGGAATATGTGTTATTTTTATTTGCATGATGTTAAAGGAGCAAGTTTCATGACTTTCGGTATGAGACATCTTGTAATTGCACCCTTTCATAAATTTGATGTGGTTTGCACTATCAGAATATATTGTCAAGTACCTTACCTGATTGATCAGAGTGCAAAAGTTGCCTATAAGAGAGCTGGAAGCAATCTTACATGATAGTGATTTTGGTTTACCTATGAGAGAGAGAAGAAATTCTATATGATTGACAATTTGGTACTGTTATAGAGACATTTGATCTTTAGTTAGTGTGAAATTTGATGAATCGATTTTCTGAACCATGTAAACTGGTGTTGAATTTGAATGACTTTCTTGCCATCAAAATCTTTTCAGTAGGAAACACTCATTGTCTTGCATCAGGTGCTATTGGACTCTTTCACATTTGTGTTTGTGTACGAAGCGTTAATGCATTGCTTGAGAAAGAGTAGCTTGGGATACTCTTTAATTGGCCAAAATTTTAACCTACGATAAAGGTTGTATTTTCATTGCTGCTTGATGTGGTCCTGGTTAAATTTGATTTCTAAGATTGAAAGATGTCATCAGGTAGACATGTGTTTTTGAAATTTTCAGAGGTTTGGCTATTATTTCATTATCTGATTTGCCCTGAAAAGGGTCCATTTGTTTTATTTTTTTACCTAGTTTAATAACCTCCCATGTCTTCTACTTGTGAATTTATATTAACAGTATATCACCTACCCATGGCTGTCTGCAGAACAAAGTAATTACTGCTATTGCAAGTTTTTAGTTGAATCATTAAATAGTGAAGTATTCTTGCAACATATCTGAATTAATTTCGTTAGGGGTGAGAAAATATAGAAACATTTTAATTGCATTTTTGTTTTCTTTTATCCTTTGATCCAAGATGCTGTTGGAATGTCACTAATGTCTTAGCCCCTGTTTGAGCCCCATTTTTTGCAACCAAAAAAAAAAAAAAAAAACATTCTTAAACAGTATTTTGATATCATTTCAACCACACATTCTTTAATAAAATAATATTACACGCAAATCCAAAACTTTTCCTTATTTTTTAACTACACATTACATATCAATATACTATTCAAAAATGCGTTCTTTTCAAAAGAATGGGGCTCAAACAAGGGCTTAGTATTTGTATTAGTAATTTAAAATTGCTATTGCTTCTTGTTCCATTTTCATTTAGCTTCTGTATTCAAAACTTTTAAACTCGTTGCAGTACGCCTAAATTTTTTGTTTTTATCTAGACAAGTCCAATCAATATTTGCTTTAGTCCAAATTGATCATGATAACTTAAAATAGCCAGAGTATTGTTCTCAATATTTTTTTAAACATCGCCTATGAAGAACCAAAAACATTCTTGTTGCCCTTTTTTCGTAACATCAAAATTTTCAAATCTTATCCTCTGTTTGGATTAATTATAAATGATTAATAAATGGAATGTGTGGTTAAAAAGTGGGGTCAATTGAAATGTGTGGTTGAAATTGAAGTTTAACAAAATATAATTTATCCAAACAGAAGCTTGGTTAATCAAGTGAATTAGATAAGACCATCAAAAAATTTGAAAATTGACCAAGGTTAAGTCCTTTTGATTTTATTCTTGGAGGAACTATTGGATAGAATACTAATATTTTAAATGCACCGTGATTAACGGCCTATGGGTAGGATAGCAGACAAGCATGGGGTTTTCCTGGTCATTGCCATCAATTTTCCGTTCCTGTTGCCAACAAGAGGCTGGTGTGATCGTTAGAATTCAAGTTTGAATGCATACACTCTGTTGTAGGACAGGAATGGCAACCGTTTTTTGAATGTTAGTTGGATTATTCGCTACCGTATACCCACATAATCATCTTCTTTTTTCTTTTTTTATGAAGTGAATCAAGTTGCATACAAAATCAAGATAAAGAGTGTCGCTGGTTGAATGACTAAAAAATATTTCTTTGCTATATAGTGTCACTAGTTGAAGTTCTATATATATTTCGTTGCCTGATATTGACCAAGTAGCATAATTGTTTAAGTAGTTTGTAGTCATTCTTTACTGTAATTTGTCTGATTCTGAGGACTCCTTTATTTTTTATAATAATGGTATTTCATGTGAATAATTTTGTGTGGAGATAATGTTAGTCTGCTACATATATTTTTCTGGGAATGTTTTTAGTCTTCACAGGTGTTGCTACTATGTGAATTTGGGCAGTATTAGCTCTTTTGTTGCTTTGATCGTGGAAATTGGCGCATAGCATTTCATGGACTGATTTTTTAAACGTTATCTGGACCTTGTTTTATAAACATTATGGTGAAAGTTAAAGACTGGGGCCTTAAAGTTTTTGTTCCTGATGGTTACTTTATTTATATAATGATGCAGACATATGAAGAGTACCTGGAAGCTCATAGTAGAGGCAACAGAAGACTCAAACCCACTGTTAGTATGCTTGTCACTACCTGTGCTACTCAATTGATTACTCCATGTTCTAGAAGACCAAAAATTATTTTAAAGCAAGTTTAGGAAGTCTTTATAAATGGTTTAAATTATAAATAGGTAGAAACAAGTGTTTGATAAGTGGATAGTACTTGTGGGCTCCACGAAATGTGTAGATAAAAGTGGTTTGAGTGTTTATAATCAGTTTATTAACATGAGCCAAACATAGGCTTAGTTTCTTAAATTTGAGGTTCTTTTACTTGAACCTCTTTATTGGAAATTAGAATGGCTGCTTTTGTATCTGTTTTCAAGTTCATTCCAGATGAGCAGTTGGCGTTATTATGTAGGGTATGTCGTTCACTAACTGATCTTTTTGTGGTTGGGCTCCAACTTTGGACATTGGTGGATTTATTTGTTTGCGACTGAACTTATTCACAAGTTTAGGCAGTTTGATTTCTGCTGTTGCAATTGTCCTATCGAGCTTGTTTTGCAGATATCTAGTGGGGTGATAGGAAGGGGTTGCATGATCTGTCCTACTATAAATTGTTTAGCTAAGCTTAAAAGTAACTATTTTGACAAGTATGCATAGACAAGTTATACGTTGGTTCTGCTGATGTGGAGGCATACCTTTGTGCAGAAAAAAGAACATAATTCGAGGAAACTGGTAGTTTGCAATTATACTTTTAACTGTTGCAGATAATATAGATATTGATTGGTAAAGAATGAATGTCACTTATACATAGGTGAAATTTTTGGATTTAGGGAGATCATTGATAAACGAAGATCTCAATTGAATTTCTTTGAACTGTCATGTGTGCACTCTTTTCCAACCGACTGTGACAAGGTTTTATTGGGATCATATTGTGTTGATCTGTACTGTTCACGATAAATCACCACCAACAATTTCACCTCAAAAGAGATGGTTTTGTTGGTTGGAATGGGTTAGAAACTAAGCCTTTATGAAACGTTGTCTATTTGACAGGCTGCTGGAACATCTCGAAGCTTGCAGAAGTCTTCAACTAGTAAAGAATATTCTGATGACTCGTAAGTTTTATCTCGTTCTTTTTTAGAACGCTGCTTAAAAGTTACTTTCTTAGAGTAAGTTAAGTTAAATTTTGACTTGCTACCTAAAATAGTAGTCTTTGTGTGTAGAAAAACCAACTATAAAAGACCATAGGTGTAACTGGATAACTTTATATTGCAGGCAGTCGGGCTGCAGTTCAAAGAAAAGGACACGCCACCAATGGCTCGACTGATTGATATTTTACCAAGAAATTAGGTTATAATCAGTTTTCAAGTGAAGCTTATGATATACTTCGAAGTACAATTGTTTCATTTCACTTCAAAGCGCCAAGCTTTGAACTCATTATTCTTCAAACTACGAGTTAACATTGCAATCATGTTGTATCCAATATGTTTGTTCTAATTTGTGTTTCCCCATGGATGGCAATGAATTTGTAGATTGTGCATATTTCACCTTCCCTTCATATTGCCTTTTCTCAAATTGTTACCTTCTGTACAGATACCCAAAAATATATTCTTTTCATTCTTCCTAGAGCGTTTTTTTTTTTTTTTGATTGAAAAATGCAGTTGGAATATCCAACACAATAGTTATAGGACAAATTCGAGATATTAGGCCAAAATAATTAATTTTTAATCAGGCACGAACTGTTTTACAGGAATATAATTTTTTTTCTTTTAAATTTCTACTACTATTTTCCTATTCAACACGCAGTGGGTTAATATGCCTTTTGTTTCACCTGACAAATCACAGAATGCAATCTTGTTTAAAATAAAATTGTGCAAAAATTAATTAACTAATCTATCTAGTAATTATTGTTCATTTATATAAACATGCTAAAATAAGTCAATGCAACATTTAACAATTATAACGAAATCAAAACTATTGAAGCGCCTGAAAGTGAAAATGTTTTTATTAACACAAAATGTTGAAATGTTATCTTCTAATAATTGTTCATGAGATAATTGTATTGAGTTTTGAAGATAAATATGAACAAATAAGATAGAAATTAAGAGGATTTACTATTTAGCCCTTGTTTGAGTCCCATTCTTTTGAAAAAAATCATTTTTCAACAGTACTTTGACATCATTTCAATTATACATTCTTCAATAAAATAATATTACACGCAAATTTAAAACTTTTCCTTATTTTTTAATCACACATTTTCCACCAATACATTATTCAAAAATTCATTCTTATCAAAAAAATGGGCTCAAACAAGGGCTTAGTGTTGGAGACGATGAGATTGGTCTATTTGGAATTTGAATTGAGTTATGCCCTTGTTTAATTCCTATTCACTGCATGTAAATTTAAATTTTATTTTATTTTTATTTTTTACTTTTTAACCACTCATTTTTCAAGAAATAAATATTCCATAATTTATTACTTGTAATTTTTAAATCTTACAAATGTATTTTCGTATTTTACTGCGAGTTTATTTCTAAGCTCATAGAGGATGGACATTTTGATAGACTTCGTGTTAAAATCGTCCGTAAACTTAAAGGAAACCTGAGTATAATTTATGTCTGTATTTAAGCAATAAAATTAATTGAAGTACCTAGGGTTTATTTGAAAAGTAATCAAACAACATGAACTAAATTTGATAAAATTAAAGAACGAAGTGTTTTTTGTCAATTTTGATTTGCCGATACACATGATGTTTTTTTTTTTTTTTTTTTTTTCTCTTAAATGGTTTTGCCTGAATATTAGCTTTTGTTCCTATTGCTATTTGAACTGTAGATCTTGTTTTTATAAATAGGAATAATTTTTTATATATCTGCCTTTTTTAATAATAGCTAATTGGTTATGTTTTTTTTTTTTAAAGTGAGCAAAACTAATTCAGCTTGCCAACTGTTCTGCAAGCTAGAGGAGAATACATCCTTCCTTTGCAGGCACACAAAATAATATTTTTGTGCCCATTGATGTGGTCGATAAAGATTACAGGCTTAGTATTGCGAATGAAACACGACTATGAATTTTTTATTTTTTATTTTTTTGGGTTTGGGGGGGGGGGGGGGGGGGGGGTAAAGATGATCAATTTCAAAACATGTTGTCATGATTAAGATCAAATATGTCAAATATATAACCAGCCTTTATTAAAACACGACTCTAGTCACTACTCGTAGCTACTCAAAGATGATGTACGAGGTCATCAACTTTCATATATAAAAAGATTAGTAAAAAATTAAAATTCAACTTATCTTCCAAATTTGAAATTCAACCAAGAATCAAATAATTGAGAATTTTAAATTCTTCCACCATTAAACTCTTAATCATGGCCACCCATAACTTCAAGAACATATTTTGTCCTAAAAAAGATTCTTTTATAGAAAAAGATTTATCCTTTTTATTGATGATGGTGATAGTCACCCCCGTTGATTCCACTAGTCTTTTGAGATTGTATACTTCTCTTTCTCCATCCATCATTGTAATGGGTGGTGGGTGGTGGAGGCAATAGATGCCAAAGGCTGACTTTTTTTTTTTTTTTTTTTTTAATCCAAGTATCCCAGCTTACACTAGACTAAATTCTGCACCCCCAAGATCCTTGCCCTTAGAATTTTGAAGGGGTAAATCGCTGGTTATGTCTCAACTGGATCTCTAAGATTTCATTCCTGTGCTTTGTTTGTTCTAGTATGGTTTGGGTTGAAACATCATTTTGCCCTTCATTAAGTTGGTCAAATTAAGGTTGAGAGTATGAATTTTGGTCAACCAGTGGTTCTTTGGAAACCGATGGAAGTTGTTCAGAAGTACTTTTAGCCCACATCTAGGATAAACTGCACCATAAGGTCCCAAACCTTTCAAAAAGTACAATAGACTTCCAAGTCTTATAAATAGGGTTGGACGTCAGGACGTGATCCGGTTTGGTTCTATTATAAAAAAAAAAAAATCGAATCGAAATAGAATTTTTGTGTATTTAGTAATTCGAACCGTCGAGTCCAAAGTTAATTATGAAATGGTACCAGTTAAGTTACGCTCGAAACATTTCAATTCCATATCATAATTAATTTTTTTAACATTTACAACAATATTACATTATTTCAACTAATGACATGTTCAATTTTAGCTTTTACAAAGACATTGTATTAACACTTACAAAATAATGTTGCTCAATTTAAAAATCTATAAATAACAAGTTTTCAAATAAAATTTATTCACCAATGTATAGAAATTATCTTGGTCAAAGTGGAAAAAATTCAATGTATAGGGTAGAAAAAGGGTAAGATGGAGAGAGCGCGGCCGCTCAGCTTCTATTATTCGAGCAACTGAAGAATGATTGAGAAAAATTTAGATTACTCAATTTTGAATCTTTGAAATTTGAATTACAAAGTTTAGTTTGGGCCGAAACAGGGAAATGATATTTTGGGCTCAATTAGTTAGTTAGCAAATGAAACAGGAAAAAATTTAAAAATTTTGACTTATTTAATATAAAAAGAAAAAATAGCAAGATTCGATTTTTTTTATTATTTGCCTAGATACGAGAATCAAACCAAATTTGTCTATTCTCAATTTTAATAGATGTTCAGGTTTTTAACTTAAGAAAAATCGCTCAATTCGATTTTATTCGGTTCAGGTCTGGTCCAATTCGATTCAAATCAAGAGTTTTATCTAGTCCTACTTATAAATTTGCAGCCAAAATCCCAAATCTTTAAATAAATATGCAGCATAAGGTTCTGTGAGCGCTTTTCATTCAAAAAACCGTCAGTGGACCCCATAGTCACTTAATGACCAAAATTTGACCTATTTGATGGACCAAGGGTTCTGTTTGATATCCATTTTTTTCAAAATGCATTTTTATTTATCTTCTTTTTAATCACACATTTTTTATTAAAATAATATTATACGTAAATGAAAATCTTTTTCTTATTCTTCAACTGTACATTTCCCATCAATTTACTATTCTAAAATACATTTTTACATATATGCCAATACACCATTGAAAGGTTTGCAACCTCTGTCGTAAATTTACCAGAATAAATCGTTCTTCCTTTCAGGGGAAAAAAAGGGAAAAGAAAAGAAAAAAGGAACATCCTGTTTAATTTACTGACTTTTTCTCCCTCTCCTTGGAGACAGATTAATTTTAAACTTAGCTTCCCTTTTATCAATTCTATAAATGATCAAATTTGATTTTCAAGTGGACAAATCAATGAATCCCACACCCACACTCATTTCTATCTATTTATAAATTAAAACCTCTATGAATTCTCCCCATACCAAGACTTTAATTAAACTCGGAATATTTGAATTGGTTGCAATTGTTGTTTATCACACGAAAACATTGTAGTTTGCTTGTTATATTGCCTGATGACTTGAGCAACTGCCGAACAAGAATGTTTCTACTATATTAATATTGTTTGAAAATGAAAACTTGCATCTGTTACGAAACTTAATGGGCAGGAATCTTAAACAAACGGGCCAACCGCTTCGATTTTCTTCATGCATTATTGGCATGTTAGGTTATGGATTGGGTAATACATTAAAGGAAAAAGAAGAAACTAAAATCTTGAAAATTGTACCATTTGAGTATTGTGAACAAAACGTTCCTCACTTGTGCGCCCTTTTTACTGAGCCATAAAGATGGATGAGTTCATTGATAGGATTTGTTGGAAATTTTTATTGAAGTCGGGCCTTCAGAGGTGGAAACATACATCGTTAAAGCCGCATTTTGTGGGCTTTTCGTGCATATCATACTCTTAGAAGGAAAAAAGACTAATGCAATGATTTCACCAGACAAAAACAATTTAAGATTATTTGATATTGATGTTATTACCATGATAATACAACGAATTAGAATGAAGAGATACAATTATCAACATAGAAAATCACCTGAAAATCTGAAATTCAACTGCTGTTCATAGAGATAAGTCTAGGACAGTATAACTGCTATAGGACTTCTCACAGAATGCCTGTCTGAATTCCATTTTAGAAAACCTTCAACAACAGTATTGTTTCCTGCAGAAGCCAATCGCTTGAATGTCACTCGATACATCAGCTTCTGGTTGAGCTTCGAGAAATTCAGTGTCGTGGGCTCAACACGCACATCAACACCAAGTGGGTGAACAATTTCGACATTGTAATAGGATTTAGACTCCCCAACGTTTGTTACCGTCCTAGAGTATGTCTGAGAATTTGACAGTGTTGTGAAAGTAATAGCAAATGCTGGATAGTTTAACTGTGCGTCTGGTATGCTTGATTCTGCCAAGCAATTCACCCTGCGCTGTATAATGATCCCGACTTGTCTGTTTGTGTAATTCAAACCGCATAAATAAGGTACGTAGTCTTCAGGTTGGATGTCGTAAACAAGGCCTGGATCATTGGCTCGTGATGGGTTGATATGGCCTGAACCAGTGGCAAAAACGTTGGCAGGAAGGAAGTTTTCATCTTCAATTGGTTTCCTGGCGAGATTTACAACATCGGCAGTAGTCATGATTGCCGACTTAATGGCAGCCGGAGACCAGTTTGGGTGCGAGCTTTTGAGCAAAGCCGCAACACCACTGAGATGAGGGCAAGACATTGAGGTACCTGATATCATGTTAAATGTAGATTTTGTATGGGTGGTTTTTTCCACGGAGACAGGCCAGGCTGCAAGAATGTTTACGCCTGGACCTAAAATATCCGGCTTTGGGATTCCAGGGCTCTTAAAGTTTGGACCCCGGGAAGAAAAAGCAGCCACCACTGGGGCACGATCATCACCGATCAAGGTTCCTTTCAACAAAATCTTAGCCACAGGATTTAATGTCGAGTTTATGTAAATTTTGACTTTCAGTCCGTCGGCATAACTGATATGTGCTGCTGGAACTACATGAGCTTCGGCAAATTTTGTGTTTCCATACTGCTCATTGTTCACGAGAATCATGGCAATGCCTCCGGCATCTTTAACAGCTTGTCCTTTGAGGATTCGTTTTATTCCACCACCTACTTCACACACCACAATCTTCCCTCTGATGTTTGTTTTGTTCAATGATTCCGGTAAGCAATATTGCACTCCGAAATCACTCGAATTCAGCATCCTGGCATCAACAAGAGGCAAGAATGCTGATGCAAAATCCATCGGCTGAAAAGCTGATTCTCCATCAAATGATTCGTCATTTCCGAGCACTGCTGTTGCCGTGATCTTTCTATCAATAGTGCTAGCACCAACAGTGAGAATCCAAGGGGCCTCATTCAATATGGAATAATTGTATGGACCACCGTTTCCTGCTGAGCAGCTAACAAAAATCCCCTTTCTCATTGCACTGAATGCACCAAGAGCAATGCTGTCTGAATAAAAATCGCTCGAAGGTCCGCCTAAAGAAATGGAAAGAACATCTACTCCATCATCAATGGCAGCATCCATTGCTGCCAATATGGCACTCTCAGGACATGAAGCGGAACATACTTTGTAAATAGCCAAGTGAGCAAGTGGGGCTATCCCAACTGCAGTTCCATTAGCATTTCCAAAAATATTAGCCCCTTTCACAAAATTTCCGGCAGCCGTACTCGCTGTGTGGGTCCCGTGACCATCCTCGTCTAATGAGGTGCTGTCTTCTTCACTAAAATTCTTTGCTCCGATGAGTTTGTTGTTGCATGATGTATCATTGAATTCACACTTGCCTTTCCATTTAGCTGGTGGAGCCGGCATTCCATAATCGTTAAACGAGGGATGATCCGGGAATATTCCGCTATCTAAAACTCCGATGATCACACCTTTACCATAATTTGAATCTTTCCAGAAACCCCTATTTTCGTTTAACCCCAAAAAGTTGGGAGTATGAGTTGTATGTAAAGAAAGTACGTTTTGGGGCAAGGCCGAGATGAATCCTGGCTTCTTCTTCATCTCTTTCACTTCATCAGGAGACAATCTTGCTGCAAAACCTTTAATTACATTGTTATATGAATAGATCATGCGTGGATTGTCACTTGAAGATGTTGTAATTGTTGGCAAAAATGAATTATACCAACTTTTCAGATCTTGCGATTGAGTGAAGATTTGTGTATCAGGTGCCTCAACATGAACAATATATGTTTCTAATTTTCCTCTTTCTGGGATGTCATTTGAAAATGTTGCCAAGAAACTATGAAAATTTAGTATGCAAATGAGAAAGAACAAGAAATGGAAACCCATATTTGCAAATCAAAAAATTCAAATGATAAACCTATAATTTGTGATTTAGATGAGGAAAATTATTGAGTGATTTAGTGTTTCAAAATACAGCTATTTAGAATAGCTTCCCCTGTGTTTTTTTGTATTTAATGTCACTTTCATGCATCTAGAAAAAAATAAATTGGACCATTTGGTCATTCACTCGAGAAACTCTCACATTAGGAACCAAGTTTTTCTGTGGGTGACCTATGAATATGTTTAAAAGACCTCCTTTTTATTTGATCTTATTTATATTTTTAATTATTCACGCAGTAAAGAGCAATAAGAGAAGACGTATTTATGTTTCAGACGTCTCTTATAGAGTGATGGCAGACGGTAGCCACCATGCTGCACCAAATTGACATGACTCAATTTACATTCTTCTTGTGTTTTGGAATCTAAAAAATTGGTTCATATTTTTGCATCGACACCTAGTTGAAACTCAAATAGAGTCGCTGAGAATGCATAACCGGGAGAGAGGGGCAAATTTTCATCAAAATTTTATATTGGCACTAAAATGGAGGGAGAGAATTTTGAAGTTCAAAAATGAAGGAAAAGGAAAATCGAAGTCTTTTACCAAAATCGACAAAGGATATGACAGTTTAGTTACTGAACCTTTTTTTTTCAGCATAAATGGTCATTGAACACTTACAGAATCTTCAAAGTCAAGTCTCTTTTTCACATATCTGTTAACAAATTTACGATTTTGTTGAGGTGTCCGGTTTTGAAAAAGGTTGAACCCCAACCGTAAGAGTCCCCCACCGCCCGCCCCTGGAGTATCGTAAGAGAGGTTAATTGTGGGATGTGCCCTAATGGGCCACGGAACAAAGCTGCTTGTACACTGGTGCCCACAAAGAGTCCTAATCCATATTTTAGGAATCGAATCCTCACACTGCTGTTGTCAGCAAGATTGAGTATACCTCATCTTTGCCCTTTGCACCACTGAGATATAATGAATGGTTGGTTAAATAGCATTAATTAATAAACTTGAAAAAAAAAAAAAAAAAAAAAAAAAAAAAAAAAAAAAGGGTGGGTAAAAAAAAAAAAATAAAAAAAATAAAAAAAAAAAAAAAAAAAAAAAGAAAAGAAGAAAGAGGTTACATCTATACGCTACTTTGGTATATACAACTTTAACGCGTGATTTTGACTTCAAATATAAACGTAAAAATGAATCATTTGAAAGTAAACCTTTAAGTCTTTCACGTAAGTCCTGCCATTAACATATCACCAAATTCATTAAATTGACAATAAATTAAGGTTAATCTAAAGTATAGACTTGGCTATTTGCACTTGAGTGAACATCTTGAACACAAATTAATAAATGAGCGCGGAGACTTTTGATCACGAGTTCGATTTCCCCTACAAACACTTTCTTGTCGAACTTGTCATACCGGGCTTGCCTAGTGTGGTTTACCCAACTAACGTGGTTTACAGATTATTGCGTCAGATCGAGAGTTTATCCAGTGCACACCCGAAGGGTAGCGACCGCGGGTTCCCCCATTATCAATAAATAAATAAATGTGCCTAGTCTCTAAAATCTTGAACTTTTAATTGATATAATTGAGAAAAGCAACCGACAACTGATATGTGTACGTTGTCTTGTGAAGCAGAATTATGACTTTGGACTGCCGGGAGTTGGCCAATATACAATGTTTTGACTTAAATTACACAGTATTAATAAATAAACTTAAAATTAGAGTGGATAATATTAAGTGAATGGTATTTTGATGGATTAAATTGATTATAATCATTGCTTCAAAGCTAATTTATGTATTCAGCTAGAATCCATTTCTTCCCTTGGTATTATGTTATTTGGTTGATTTAAGAAATTATAAAGACTAAGATCATATTAATCCATCGTAATACTATTTACTCAGTATTATTCACCCTAATTTTATACTTAAAAATTCTTATAGGTTTAACCAAGTGTGCCAAAGGCAACTTGATGTACTCTAGGTTTATACACCGGTTATGAAGTAATATATATCTTAGGCTATATATTGTAATTGTATCTTTTGTAAGGAATAATTCACTTGTACATTCTTTTGTTTACATTATGGTTGACACTCCATTGATTTTCAAATTGACATAGGTAGGAAAGTGTGCTTCATTTTAAAATTGTCCACTCATGCTACGACACATGGCATAATGTCTAAAATGATGTCAAATAAAGTGTACATGTAACATGATTGATTCAATAAACCGTCTACGTGCATAATTATGATGTTAATTATAAGGGTTAATAGCACAAAACGTCCCTACATTTTGCACTTATTGCGAAAAAAGTTTCTACATTTCATTTTTTTTGCATTTTCGTCCTTATTTCAACGTTTTATTGCTAAAAACGTCATTTTCACCATTTTTGAATGTAAAATGACAAAAACACCCTCCTATTTACATAAAACAAAAAAAAAAAGAAAAGAAAAATAAATAATAATTTCAATTTTACTCCTAAATGTTTTAAAAAGTGCAAGTGAGTCCAAATAATTATTAAAATGCCTAATAGCACAAAACGTCCCTACGTTTGGCCTGTATGCAAAACGTTCCCATGTTTTAAATTGATAAAAATGACGTTTTTCGCAATGAAACTTGAAAATAGGGATGAAAATGCAAAAAAAATTGAAATGTATGGACGTTCTTCACAAGAAGTGTCAAAGGTAGGGACTTTTTCGTAAAAAGTGTCAAACGTAGTGATGTTTTGTACTATTATACCTTATTAAAATTGAAACCATTGTCAAACCGATGAACCTTCATACCATTTCCAAAATACCATCACCCAAACTCCGACGGCATCATCTATTCCGGAAAGATCCATGTCATTTCTAACACACTAATTGACCATACTTACCAGAGCGCTTCTCTTCATGGTCCCTTCTCCAAATGGGACTGTCACCTTAGAAATGAAAAAACTCCGACCAACTATCACCGAAACCGTCGAACTTCCATGCCGCTGAACCATCTGTTAATGTTTTAAGACCATGAAAAGAAGCGTCCTGGTAAGTATGGTCAATTATTGTGTTAGAAATGACATGGATCTCTTCGGAACAGGTGGTGCCATCGAAGTTTAGGTGATGGTATTTCGGAAATCGTATAGAGGTTCGACGATTTGGCAAAGGTTTCAATTTTAATAAGGTCTAATAGCACAAAACGTCCCTATGTTTGATACTTCTTGTAGAAAACATCCATACGTTTGACATTTCTTGCGAAAAACATCCATACGTTTCATTTTATTTTTTATTTTTATTTTTTTGCATTTTCATCCCTATTTTCAGGTAACATTGCGGAAAACATCATTTTCATAAATTTGAAACATAGGGACGTTTTGCATACTACAGGCCAAACGTAGGGACGTTTTCTGCTATTAAGCCTTTTAATAATTATTTGGACTCATTTGCACTTTTTAAAACATTTAGGAGTAAGATTGCAATTTTTTCTATTTTTTTCTTTTTTTCTTTTTTGGCTTTATTTAAATAGGAGGGTATTTTGGTCATTTTACATTCAAAATGGTGAAAATGACTTTTAGCAATGAAACGTTGAAATAAGGACGAAAATGCAAAAAAAAAAAATGAAACTCAGGGATGTTTTCCGCAATAAATGTCAAACGTAGGAACGTTTGGTGCTATTAATCCTTAATTATAACTATCAAACCTTATGATATGTACTCTTCAAATAGAAAGGTATAAAATAATAATAATAAATCAAAATACTTATTGAATAAAAGTTCGAGTAGAAACTAAATTGTGATTGATCAAGAAACTAATCATATAACTTCGACATTCTAGGCTAAAACCTTACCCCCAAAGAACAATAGTTCACATTGTTCTGTCATAGCAGGCTCCCCGATAGTTCATATATCTGGACTAGACTAGATTGGAATGGATTGGACTAGACAGGACAGTAAATTATGGTCATTTTCCATGATATAACAAGTATAGTAGCGAGGATAACAAGAATGAAGAGGTTTTTTCAATTTTCCATTTCAACAAGTGAAACATTCGTATTATTCAGACAGTTATTCGATACATGTAAGATTTTAACATGACCTGTCAGCCTTAGAAAACTCGTATACAAAACGGAAGCTCCTTTTTGAACCATCCTTCTCAATTTTCCCTTACACAAATTTAACAGAAATCGGGCTTCTAACGACACGCTTGTTCGAAACCCAGCTTACAGCTCCTTGAACAAAAGCAGCATTGACAGAATTGGCTGATTTACTAAAACTTATCTGATATGTCATTTTTTGGTTGACTTCAGTGAAACTAAGCTGTAAGGGCTCAACAACAACATTAACTCCTGGGATAATCTCAATATTAAGATTATAAGTTGAAGTTGCCTCTCCTACATTTGTCACTGTTCTTGTATAAGTTTGAGTATTAGCCCCAAGTTGGATAGAAAATGAGGGATAATTCAGTTGTGCTTCAGAAATGCTGGATATATTGGAGCACTTAACAGGATGTTGCACAATGGTCATGATCTGGCTATCTGTGTAGCCTAAACCACAGAGATATGGGATATAATCATCAGGTTGGAGATCATAAACGAGGCCGGGATCGTTTGCTTTTGATGGATTTACATGGCCTGAACCGGTGGCGAATACATCAGCCGGTAGATTTCTTTCGTCGAGAATCAGACCACCGGCTAGGTTAGCCTGAGTGGCGGAAGTCATGATTGCTGACTTGATGGCTGCCGGAGACCAATCGGGGTGTGAACTTTTGAGCAATGCCGAAATGCCTCCAAGGTGAGGGCATGACATTGATGTGCCAGAAATCATGTTGAAAGTTGCAGATTTTTCCATGGTGTTGTTGTCTACAGAGACAGGCCATGCTGCAAGAATGCTGACACCGGGGCCAATGATGTCGGGTTTAAGGATACCAGGACTGGCGAAACTCGGGCCCCTTGAGGAAAATGATGTGACAGTTGGCGCATTTTTTATGCCTATGATGGTTCCTTTGAAGGAAATTGTAGCTGATGGAGTTGAGGTTGAGTTTATGTAGGCTTTGATTTTTTCTCCAGCGGCATAGCTGACGTGTGTAGCTGGAAGTACGTGAGGATCAGCTATCGTACTATAGCCATCGGGCTCCTGGTTCATGAGAATCATGG